GTAGTTTTTCACCGTTGGCGTTCCGGTTAACGTATATCGCATCTGATAAGCTGTTTATCGTGCATTGGTTTCAATTTAGTTTGTGTAAAAATCCATTTAGAACAGATCTTATTTGCGTAAATCAGTGAACACTCACCCTTGGATATGCTCTTCAGACGTGCGCACATCCAAAATGAGGAAACTACAAAACGTTTATTGACAGGTTGAAGCAACATCAATGCATTCAAGCTTAATCTCCCTGATGATCACTAGCCTCAAAGCCGTACTGTCTGATATATGGCTGATGCTATAGCTCCTGTTGATGAGTACTCGTGTGGCCCACTCTGAATTTGATTCGTTTCATGACAACAACAGTGATAAACAATGCTTTTCTCGACCTTCCGCAAACGGTTTCGGTGACCTCGCAAACGCTGGATTAGAGCAAGCCTTCAATGCCATGGCGCTTATTCCGAGGATCGAATTCATTTCTGGTTCGCCTGTCACTGTTGGCTAAGACAGCGCCGAACTATAAGTGCTACCGTCAACCAATGCCAGTAGGACGCTGTTGCGATCAGTCTGTTCCACGTCATTTCGCCAAACGGATTGTAATGAGATGCTGCCGTAATTTAAAAGCTATTTGCAACTTCAAACCCTGCGATACAGTTATATTTCTTTCGCCCCACGAAGTCATCCTGAGCTTTGACGTTTGAGGTATGGTAGAATATGTCCTCCCTCTGCATTTCATGCTTGCAAGCTCGTATACACAATAGTGTAGGAATCTTTTGAAGTTTTTCTCTCTGCCGACTTTGTAGCATAAACGAGGTCGAATGACAATTAACGGACTAGTTAACAGGTTAGGCAGTCGCCTCGAATGACCAAGGGGTGGTGATAGTTTCATCACAGCCGGATGGCAGTCATTTCGACAAACGCTCGTGTTTAATCCTTTGCTTTTCCGGCAAATCACTTCAATTAGTCATTCATTTTTTTATTTGTGAATTGCATTCTTTTAGCCTCTTGTGCCGTTTCCAAGCCGCATCGGAATGAAAAGTTAGAATTCCGCAGGTCGCTGTTTGGCCTAAACTGACAGACACAAAAATCAGGGTAGTAATGTTCCCTGGCGTGTCACATCGGGAGCTGTAGCCGGCTAGTTGATCGAACGTTCACATAATTTATGTTTTTTTACTTGTCGCTCAAACGTAGAGTACAAGAGACGAGCTCATCTGACAACAGTACGTTTTCTCCACATGTTTCGTACTTTTCATTCGTGCATTCTTTTAGCGGACTTGGAAAATCATAATGTTCATTCTTTGTTCTGTCTGCTTATGCTGATCGGTGGCTCGGCATGCTTCGCGGCAGGCGATGTGCGGTTTGGTAATATTATTTGAAAACCCGAGCGAACATGGAATTAACGAATAAAAATATATTATCATTACTGATCATCTGTGGACCTTCACATCAAACGTGACAGCCCTGTGCATGAGGAACCAAGCCATAAAAATGTTCGAAATGATTATACACCCCACTGATTTGTTGCCGTTATTTTGTCGTTTAATCAGATCAGCTGATGATGTTTCGGATCGAGGCGTATATTTTTTGTAAATAATTTATTTAAACAAGTTTACTATTAGGATGACTTCAATCCACTTTGTTTGTCACTAATGCGAGCTGGCGAGATGGTCCAAGTGTTCAGAGCGCGAATGTACTGACCGGAAGGTCCGTGGTTAGAACCCGGACGCCGCCTCTCGACTTTCACTGCTTGGGCAACTTGGCAGTATTCAAACCCTCCGGCTTCCTTCTGGTGGCATTGCCGTTAGCATATTAGCATCCAATGTGAAACCCAGATCTTCCCATCATAATATTCTCCGACTCCATCCACCCTGATGTCCGTGTACTAATTAATTTTGGTGGAGACTACGCATGCCTGACGAGTCTAAAAAGAGCGAAAACCGTGGTAGGTTGTCGCTGAATTTCGAGCAAGTATGCGATGATCTTATCAAGGAGTATCAACCTAACAGAAGCATGAGAAAGGGTTCATTCAGTAACCTGGTTGAAGAAAATCACATGCCGGCAATTCATTCAAGTAGTAGGCGTACTATCACTATTCCCTTTGAACGGAATTGTAAGTCAATCCTCAAGAGCGGTTTGATTATTGTTGAGTATTTCATCCCCCTCCCAATACCGTGGGCGATGGCATGACTGAAGGGATCGATAACTTCGTCGCATTCAATTCATGTATCCATCAAGCGATCTTCACACCGTCCAATCTAGTCCTGTGAGGTTCAGATCCGTTTCTTCTGCTTGATCCAGTTGTGCTATACCTTCGGCTTGCAGAAAGTCTAACTTTGATCTATCTCTTGCCGTTTAAGGAGATTATTAGCTGAGACTGCTTATTGATTAATGCGCGAATTTATTGACCGGATGGTCCGTGGTATAGACCCAACCTCTGCATCTCGTGTGTTCCTGTCTGGACTTGGGCAACTTGGCGGTATCTCACCCCTGGTGATTCCTTCGGGTTGCATGACAACCAGGTGCTGGAAGGATGCTACGACTGTACGAACGAGGTAGTTTTCGCCTCACTTGCCTTTTGCGAATGAGAATCCTTCACCAACTGATTGTCTTTCATATGCCTAAAATGTTGTCAGGCCCGAAACGGAAGCCGACTCGAATGGACTTATGATTGTTTTGCTCCCAGCTTTGTCCTGCGTTCCTGCGTAATGGGAAACAAAAGTGGCGATCAAACTTTACTTTTCACATAGTAACTTAGCTTTTCCGCGAACATCACGGTGGGCATCTCTGCACTGTTTGTCGATGCGCCAGAGATGTTAGTGATTGAATGTTTTATTTTTCTGACTCTGGCTAACTTAAACGCGTCAATCAAAATGAATACTTTCTAGAGTTGACGTTCAACGTGCTGTGTGTTGAGGGGTTGAATAATTTGCCGATATTATTGGTGAGGATAGTAGTTAATTTACCAGTTAGTTTATAATAATGTTTCAGAGTTGATAAACTACTTACAATATTACTAAGGACAGTTAGTTAATTAATAATAGTTAATTAATTAAATGGCCAATTAATGAGAAGGATCTCGTTGTAATTTGTGGCTGTTGCACTCTAGTAACAAAACAATTTTCACTCCATCAAGTGGCACTCAATTTATTTTGTGAGAGGACATTATCAAAATAGTCAGCTATGATGTAAGCTTGTACCGTTTTCATCTTCTATTCGTTACACCACGCAGATCTGGTGGTTGACGTCTTGACTTTTCGCCACCTATGTACCCTTTATATCTGTGCGCCCGGATGAGCGAAATGGAGCCTGGTGCACAAGTCGGTCGACGTAATTAATAGTAACATACAGTCCCTAGTTTTCAGGGGCCATACTATCTCTGCATGTCCTATCGAGAATACATACGATTATTGTCGTCCTTTGATATTACTTTGAACTCTGACAGGAATTGTGTATCGGGAATGCATAAATACTCCCAGGCGAGCATTCATCCAGTTTCTCAATGGGGAACATAGTCATGTTGGGCTATGTTAAAACACAGAGGAGCGTGGTGTTTACCGGTGCACTTTTGACCAAGATATTCAGATTCAATGTTTACAGTAGCAAGTATGCCCAACCTATGATCCACCATCCAGAGACTTGACGTCCTGTTTATGCATGACTGCGGCATCTACGCTCTTGTCTGGCAACCATCCCTGGCGGCGTGTATGTAAACAGCGATCTTTCCTGTTTCTGCCGGTTGCATACACACCTGTTTCCTGTTGGGATGGATGGACAGACATCGGTGTGGTGGAACTGAAGCAGCTTACGCAATTCCGCCGTGTTTCACAGTCTCGCTTACTGATGATTGGCGAAGTGTGGGCTGCGCGCAACCGTGAATCGTAACTTTTTTGCAATCATGCTGGGTGACCTTGAACACACGAATAGCTTCCTACATTATCGAACATCACAACCTCAATTTGTGCAGTGAGTGATTACATGGAATTTATCGGTTTCATACAACCTTGGAGACATTTGTACATATGTTTAGTTCGGCATAGACGAAAACAGCCTACTGCTGACGCCTCCCTTCTCTATCCAACCGCTCTCCACCCCATTAATAGCTCTCTCCTTGTAGACCCAGCACTCAGGACTGATGACTCCGTTTGTCTTGCATCGGTTTTGCGTGTAAAATCTGCTCGTCACATGGCGCCGACATCCTCAGGTCTCTCGAAATCAATCTTCATGCCTTAGTCTGCTTGACTGCCTTGAATGTCTTCAGTGTGAAGCGAGAAGTAAAACAAGCTGCTCTTGCCCTCACACTGCCTCGCTTGGCACCGATGTGGGCTGTGTTTCAGAGACAAGAATTCAAGATGCAAGCACAATGGTTGGGCTGACCGCCCTATCAAACACCACAACTTCCAGCTACACACCTCTGGTCATCAAGAGGTTGTTGTGGCAGGATGTACAGGGCGCAAGTATCCTTGCTTGACTGGATATCCGTTGATATTCGCCTGTGTGGGGTTCGTCTGGCAACGCCTGAAGGAGTCTTACAATCGGGAAGTTGATCAATGTCTGTTCATCGTGTCTGCTTACGCCCCAACTGACTGTAGCTCCGACGCCGTCAAAGACAGTTTTTACCACGCCCTGAATGCCATGTTGCGGCTAGCTAAAGCTGACTTAACGTTGTTGTTGCCGGAGATATGAATGCACAAGTGGAAAGGCTTAGCGTATCTGAGACTCAATTAGGGAACGACATGGATTTGACTTCCTAAGTAGCTGAAGTCGTCTGGCTACATAGTGTCCTCCAAATGCGAACCGGTGATAAACTCAAATCGATCACTTTTCCATTAGCCCGGATCAATAACTGACTGCCGGTCGTTCTGGAACACATTTTCGGATTCCGACCGCGCACTCGTCCGGATTTGCTTATCCCTACATTTCCCTGGGCCGCGTAAGGTGCGAACAAATCGCTTGGCAACTGAGAGACTGGCAGATCCGGATGTTGGACGAATTTACAAGAATTTAGATTCTAGATTCTCTTCCAAATGCTCCACCATCAGATATGGACTCATACTGGGACGAGATTGCCACCTATTTGTATAGTGCTTGGAATTTTGCCTGTGTCACGGCCCGACCAGGCGCACGCAAGCACTGGATATCAGACGGAAGGGTGGCACTGCTTAAATCTGGGAGAAATATCCCAGCCGGTCGCGAACATAACCCGGTACGAAGAGTTATCAGACGTCAAGTGAAAGTGAGCGTGCGAGTCGATAGTGAAGTATGGTGGACACAAAAAGCCAAATAAATGGAAGATGCCCCGAAAGGCCGTAATGCCCAAAGATTATTTTAGTTGAGCCGTGCGACCGTCCCCTGAAACCACCCGTGAGTGAAACCATCAAACATCAGAATGGAACGATCATCTCGAATAGAGAAGAACGCCTCGACCGATGGGCTGAATACTTCGAACAACAACTGTCGTGGCCGCCAGCTGGCACTCCTCTAGAGCCCACAGGTGAAGTAGTACCTTGGATGGTCTCGAAGGTTTGCGACTGCATGTGTTCTCTCAAGCACTACCGAGTTCTTTGTCCGGATGACCTCGCATCCGCACTGTTCAAAGATGGGGCTGAAGTCCTCAGTCAACGCTTATCTGATCTGTTTGCTTGCATTTGGGAAAGGAATCTGTCCTGGGCAACTTGGGAGAGTCGGTGATAGTGCTCATTTTCAAAAAGGGGCGCGGGGTGAGTGTGGTAGCCACAGGGGGATCAGCTTGACCCCGGTCGTAACGAGACTTGGCGTCAATTGTGCTTCGTCGCCTTACGGTGGCTCGTGAGACACTGAATCGAGAGCAGCAAGCGGGATTCCGGCCTTGTGTTCCGAACTGCTATATTAACCATCCATCCGTACTAAATCTTTGTGTCATCTTCGTAATGGTTATATATATATATATATATATAACAGACTAAAGCTGGGCAGTCTTGTCAATACTGAACAGACAGCATCTTGTTTTTTATTCCGAGTACGATGCCAGAGGCAGGTGAAGTGTTTTCTTCTTCAGGCTGCACTGTAAATTGTGGAAGTTTTGCAAATTATTTAATGACTATTCAGATCTTTCGACTCTGGCCTTGGTGGTACCTGTAGTGAAAATATAGTCCCTCACATAGATTCACCGACCCATTTCGCGATTCACGAAACAATGATCCTATGGGACTCACCGTTGCAACGTAGTTTACTTGTATGTAATGCATACTGTTAAATATAAACTAGAAATTTTTTGTGCATACTTTTGTTCGATGTCACGTATTACTTAGCGAGAGTCCCGGGTGGCAAGGCCATGAACAGTTGTTAGTGTGAGGAGATTTGGAAATACTTTATGGGGACCTCGTCTCTTGAGTGAAGCCAATCTACGCTGAAAAGTGGAGCAGCATTGTACAACTGTTCCATCCTTATTGGGACTCACCAGCAGTGAGCATCTCACAAAACCCTGGAAGTCTCGGACCCGTAACCTCCCGGATAGTAGTTAGAATACTCAATTGCCCGGCCCTGAGCGGCCGAATAGCCGAAACTCCTGTTCGGATCGTCGCAACCGCTTCAAAATCCTAGTTGATGACTTAATTCCCAAAACACTTTCAATCTTTTCGTTTACCATCCCGCTTTTTGTATTTATTTTCATAGGGCACTTACTTTATGAGTACCAAATTTTGGGTCCAACTGCCCAACAGGCAGCATGTGCAATTGAAAATCCAAAAATCCCCGTAAGTTCTCACAGCTTTTTTCTATCCCGGTGGGTCATTTTCGGTTTTCATACCAGCGGCTTGATCACATCATAAGGACTGTCGGATTCATACTTCACCTTACTTGCCTATTTTCTGACACATAACACAACGTAGAACATATTAGTTGCATAAAATAAAGGGTAGGAACACCGGCTGGTGATTTCTGCATGGCACCTGATAACCAATCGTCTGCGTCAATTATGAGCTTAGTCGGATCAATCCGATGACTAGTATCTAATAACTGCCTTATTTCCTCTGTTTGATAATTTTTGTCCCTCTCTATGGAGCCATCATCCCCACATTGATGTTGACTGCGCTTAATATTGGTTACCAATATCTTACTGGGACTTTCAGTAGCTCGCTGTAAGTGTTCTCGGTACGTCCTCCACATCGTGACTAATCACGGTCTGCCATCCTTGCTGCTGCACTAGTTTGGCTCTCAACCATGTGCATAGACGTATAAATCATAATTGTTTGCGCCTTAGCGGTACTTCCGCTTCTGGCGAGCGGTGTGTTCCCTACTACCGCTCCAGTCTCACAGTTGGTTGTAGCTGTTTTATTTTCAGGCGCTTGTGTCGGTGGTTCGTCTACTGTCGTGCGCGCGCACACACACACA